TGCAAACTCCCACGGTCAGGTTATCGACGGGAAGGCTGAGAGATTCTTTTGTTCTTCTCCGTTACAAGCGGAAGCGTTTGCGATTCTTAATGCAGTTATCTGGGCGGCACAAGATCCTGTCCCTACGTGTGTCCGTTCGGATTGTCAGCGCTTGACGTATGCACTGAGACAGGATCCGAGCCTCTGGCCCTGGCAATGTCGGGCTCCCCTTGCTCGGGTGGTTTCCATTCTCTGTGCCTCTCCTTGGATTTCCATCGAGTTTGTTCCTCGTCGCTTCAATAAGCTGGCTGATTGGATCGCTAGGAACGCTCGACTTGTTCTCCTTCCTCCGGAATGGATTGTCATTGCCGACCTTGTATCTCCATTATTGTAATCGTTGTGCTCCCCTTGTTTGGGTTTGGAATGAAATGAATGATGTCTGTTGTCAAAAAAAAAAAAAAAAAATTATCATAATCACTTGTTCTAGTTGAGCAAGAGCTCCAAACCTCCAATGTTCGTCATTTAGTCCAGTTACAATTGCCTCTACGTTCTTCCAAGTTATGTATTGTAGGCAATACCTTGCTGTCCTGATCATGAGTATTTTATGTCTGAACCCAGATGTGCATTGGAATGTTACTCTGCCACTAGATTTTTGTTCTAAAATTTCACTTTTGCTACATTATCTTTACGTAGTGAGTAATTTATTTTGAAATGAAATTTTTTTGTTTGGTATTTAAAAGAATTCATTTTCAATTCTCTAAACTTTGAATTTTACGAAATTGCAACTAGTTATAACAATTCCAAGGAATTGAGATGGAATTTCCAAATGAATTTCACATTTATTAACTAATTATACTAAAATGACATAATTATCCTCATTTATTAACTAAATTACTTCTACATATGATATTTGGGGCCAACTCATGCAATATGAGGAACGTTGACAAGAGTTTGATTGCAATGCTAGTAGCATATGTTGGTTATTTGATATTTCTGCTTCAATTGTATCCGTATGTTGAGTTGGCACAACTAAAGTGTATGGTTCATTGACAAAAATATTAGAAGATGAATTTTAATGAATATTGTTTCTGCAGGACAGAATTGAATATATGACATACCAAATCCAGGAATTCATTTGAAAATGAATTCTACACGGTAATTCATTTTAAGATGAAATGCGCCGGTACCTAATTCATTCGTTTTTTCGTCTGCTCAATTGCTGATCCGCAAATGGTGGCAGGCGACTTCAACCATGGTTTGGGAGGAGCGATCACGGGGAGATGTACTTAGCCATTCAATTCCACTTTATATTGTTTTGCTTCTCGTTGCTTCATTAGGGCTGCCTATCCTGCAACACAAAAGACTCTCTCACCGATAATTCGACTACTGATCAACTACCGTGCTTATCTAATTTCTCCTCTATGACTGATTATATTAACCCTATCTATGCAAACTACCAATTCTCCTAACACTAACCGTTTTAAACTTTTAATAACCGCAATCCACGCAAGCATCGACCCAAGCTCACTGAAATTGCTTTTGCGGTCGAACCGCAAAATCGTAACCTTTTTCCCACGTCGGCCATTCTCTCCCAATTAGCTTTTCTGCGTTTAGGGTTTAAGGTCGACAGAAATTGGTCTCACACCCAGATTGATCATGGCGTCGGAGGGCAAACTGAATAAACAGAAGACTGCGGATACTCATGCTGACAGATTGAGTGCTTTGGGCGATGATTTGCTGCTTCATATACTCGGCCTCTTGGAGCTTAAAGGCGCCGTGGGTACGAGCGCACTGTCAAGACGATGGAGGTACCTTTGGACTCGTCTCACTCGTCTCGATCTGGACGACAGCAGCTTCGTACATCCCGCCGACGATCGGGAAATCGCAGAAATCCGCAAGGCAGAGTTCGCAAACCTCGTGGTGCAGAGCGTGTTGAGACAATGTGAAGACCACCGGCCGTTTCTGAAGAACTTCCGGCTCAGCTGCAATGCGCCCGAGGATCCTTTCTTGTCGAAATCGTGGATGGAGGCGGCCGCCGGTCCTCAAATCGAGACGTTTGAAGTCGATTTCGGCTGCTGCACGGAGAGTCTCTACGATCTCAGCGACAGGGTTTTTGCTTTAGAGAAGCTTCGAGTTTTGAAGCTCCGCAAGGGTTTCCGGCTTGGTGTTGATGCTGCACGCATTTGGCTCCCATGTCTCAAGGTATTAGAACTTCGTGAAATCTCAGGGTCTAGTTCTACGTTGCGCAGTCTCATTTCTGGTTCTCCTGTTCTGGAGACACTAGGCATTGAACGCTTTAAAACATTGGATGATGCAACAACCGTTTACATAGAATCTTCGTCGCTGAAGAATGTGAAGCTGAGGGGGTTGTTCATGTTCGGTAATGCCTTGCCGAGAATCGTTGTTAATGCACCAAGTCTTGTGCATATGGATTTTCATCCATGGCACAATCCGGGGGCTGAATATGTCATCCATGAGTTACTTTGCCTCGAATCTGGTTACATTGACCATTGTGGTCGACTTGGAATGCTTTCCCCGCTCATTTTGCTCTTGAATCGGATTTCAAATGCTAGAAAACTGCAGCTGACTGACTCAACATTCCAGGTAAATCTCCTCTGGCTTTCACTTCCTTAATGTTATAGACACTACTTGCTTCAAATGACTTGAGCAGTTGTAATGTCTTTTCCCCCTTTCATATCCTTTCGATGCAGTCGGTTAAATCGTGTTACCACTATGAGCTACCACTGCCCTGGTTTCATAACTTGACTCACTTGACATTGGAAGTTACCGTGATTGATTGGATCACCGTGTGTAACTTACTAGATCGCGCACCGAATTTGGTAACTCTAGTCTTCGAGAAGGTTAGTTCTATCTGATATTTTCTCTGCCTTAGTTCGACTTCTCCAACTTTGGTAAATCCTGAGCTTTCATTTTTCTTACACCAGTGTCCAAGCCCTGAGCCGCTGGAAGTTCTATGGGACCCATTGGAACCAGACCCTGAATGCCTTCATTCACGAATTGAGATCATAGAAATCAAGGGTTTAGTAGTGTCTTCTTCAATCCAGAGAGACTTGTTAATGCACCTGCTGGAGGTTGCATCTTGCTTAAAGAAGATGATTCTTCACTGTGCCATTGACCAAGACGCCATTGGAAGGTTCTTACATTCGTCCAACGAATCAGTTCCTACTCGCAGGGAACATGTGATGCTTACGAATCTGGAAGAGTTATTAGCTTGTCCGAGGTCATCAAGCACTTGTGACGTTGAACTCTTAAGTTATGCAGACGATATCTTATGACTGAACTCCGATATGCATGGGTCGTTTTGGCCGTCAGTGTTGTAGCGGGCGATAAGGACATGACTCAGTAACTGACCTTTGCATGTGTACTGTATGGTGTATTTTGGCTCAGTTGAAGTGTATATGTATATGATCAGGACAGGGCTTAGTAACTGACTTTTGTATGTGTACTGTATGGTGTATTTTGGCTCAGATGAAGTATATGTATTGTATGTTATTCGGTGCTGGTGATCTTCTTTGGACTTGTCTCTTCGCCTCTAGGTTTTTGTTTCTGCAATTGCACTTCTGCAACTTCTTTACAGCAATGTTGATGCAAGGAGCTTTTTTTTTCCTAAGATGCATGCAATGTTGATTCTTCAACGAAGCTTCTAAGATTAGTGATTCAAAAATGGAAAAGGAAACGATTGCAACGAGCAAAAATGTTCTAAAGAAGTTAATGGTATCTGAGCACGACCCAAAATAGCCTCACTTAGGGGTCGTTTGCTTGTGGGATTTGGGTGTTGTATTTGACACCCAAATACCAAGCATTATGTATTTGATGTAAAAACATTGTTTGTTGAGGTATACAAATCCGTGGGGCCCACGGATTTGGATCTTATTTTTAGTTCCAAATCCGTGGACCCCACATATTTGCAAATACCATATTTCATTTGGTATTTGCAAATACCACACTATGGAAGGCAAATTTTTGAGACCCAAATACCAAATGAACTAAATCCTTGATAAAAATTCAACTAAGCAAACAATGTTATCTTTCAAATACCAAATGCAATAAATCCATCATAAATCCAAAGGTTTTCAAAACTCAAAACCTTCATTTTCAAATCCAACAAGCAAACGAGCCCTTAATGGTATCTGAGCAATTTTTCGATTGCTTTTATAGAGCTTCCCTCTTGTATCATTAACCCGTCACCAATTAATACAACACCAATACCTATTAGTTGTTATTAGCTGGACTGAGGTCCTGACTGAATAAGACTAAAATTAACAAGATGACTTTATGGTATCCAAAAGAGTTTGCCAGACTCATATTGAATGACTGAAAAATTACCTTAATGAAATATTTGAATGACAATTTAAACTGTGCCTTGTAGTGGTGGCAATTTTCAATACAATTCATTTTCGTTACATCTAAATTCAATTGAATTGATAAATTTATGGATCGACTTCATTAATTGTTGATAAATACTTCATTAATTGGGCTCGTTTGCTTGTTGGATTTGAAAATGAAGGTTTTGAGTTTTAAAAACCTTTGGATTTATGATGGATTTGTTGCATCATGAATTTGGAAGAGTACATTGTTTGTTTAGTTGATTTTTTATCATGGATTTTTGATGGATTTGTCTCATATTTTTTCCTTCTATTGTCAAATCCCAAATGAAATGTGAGATTTACAAATCCGTGGGGTCCATGGATTTGGATCTAAAAAGGGGTCCAAATCCGTGGACCCCACGGATTTGTGTCTCTTAACAAACAAATGATTTGTGTCAACTCCATGATGCTTGGGATTTGGGTTCCAAATCCATCACCCAAATCCCACAAGCAAACGACCCCTTAACTATTAATCGTAAATAACCCTTTCAATTTTCATTCATTCATGCTGACTGTACGTATGGGCATTGGGCTGACTGCCTTTCGACTTCAAGCCCATTGTTGAATATCCTGGGGCTGGTTATAAAAAAAAAAAAAAAAAAAAAACTCCTATTTTCCCCCCCTTACTGGCTTCTGCGTTTAGGGTTTAGTGTCAAGAATTGTTCTCACCCAGTCACCCAGAGTGATCATGGCGTCGGAGGACAAATTGAAGAACACCGCGGATACTCACGTTGACAGACTGAGTGTTTTGGGCGACGATTTGCTGCTCCACATACTCGGATTCTTGGAACTGAAAGGCGCCGTGGGAACGAGCGCTCTGTCAAGAAGATGGAGGTACCTTTGGACCCGTCTCACCAGTCTCCATCTGGACGACTGCAGCTTCGTGCACTCCGACGCCGACTGGACAATGGCGGAAACTATGAACCCAGAGTTCGGAGACCTCGTGGAGAGCGTGTTGAGACAATGCGAAGACCACCTGCCGTTTCTCAAGAAGTTCCGCCTCAGTTGCAACTCGCCCAATGATCTGATGTTTGTGGAATGGTGGATGGAGGCGGTCACCGGTCCTCAGGTCGAGTCATTTGAAGTCGATTTCAGGTGGGGGAACTGTATGTACCATCCCTGCGAAAGGATTTTTGCTATGGAGAAGCTTCGAGTATTGAAGCTCAACGACTGGTACAAAATGGTCGTTCCTCCGTCTGCGTGCTTTCCTAGGCTCGAGGTTTTGGAACTCTGGAGGGTCCATGTGCTTCTCGAGGATTGTCCCCAGTTCATCGCATGGCTTCGGGCGGTCATTGGGCCTGAAATCGAGAAGCTTTACCTTAAATTGAAAGTAATGAAAGCAATGGAGCCGGAGGTGATTGATTTGGGTGAAGCCGTTCGTAGCGCACGTAAGCTTCAGGTGTTGAAGCTCTGCAATGGTATCCAGCTTGGTGTTGATGCACCCATTTGCCTTCCATGTCTCAAGGTATTAGCACTTTATTTTGTATCAGGGTTTGGTTCCACACTGCGCAGCATCATTTCCAGTTCTCCTGTTCTGGAGTCATTAGTCATTGAATGCTTTAAAACATTAGGCGATGCAACAACCCTTTACATAGAATCTCCCTCGCTAAAGAATGTGAAGCTGAGGAGGTTTTCGGTTGAGCATCATGCCTCGCGGAGAATTGTTCTTAATGCACCAAGTCTTGTGCGTATGAAAGTTCTTCTTTACAATGATATGGTGACTGAATATGACATTCATGAGCTACCTTGCCTTGAATCTGGTTATATTGACTACTGTGGTCGAAGTCAACGGCTTGCCTCCCTTATTATGATCTTGAATCGGATTTCAAATGCTACATCACTGCATCTAACTGACTCAACATTTCAGGTATATTTCCTCTGGCTTCGACTTTCTTATGTTATAGTTGTTGACTACTTACATCAAGTGACTTGAGCAGTTATAATGTGTTCTTTTCCTTTTCATCCTTTCGATGCAGTCGATTATGCTGTGTTACCTCCATCAGCTTCAACTGCCCGTGTTACATAACTTGACTCACCTGACAACGGAAGTGAGTCTGATTGACTGGGAAACCGTGTGTACCTTACTTGCTTGCACACCAAACTTGGTAACTCTGGTCTTTGAGAAGGTTAGTTCCAAGTTCAATAACTAATATCTTCTCTGCCTTAGTTAAACTTCTCCAAGCCTTGGTAAATCATGAACTTCGTTTTTCATACATCAGAGTCCAGGTCCTGAACCGTTGGAAGTTTTACGGGAGAACATATGGAAACCAGTCCCTGAATGCCTTTATTCACGAATTGAAGTCATAGAAATCAAGGGTTTAGGTTCAGGGGTGACTTCAGTCCAGAAAGACTTGTTAATGCACGTTCTAGATGTTGCATCTTGCTTAAAGAAGATGATTCTTCACTGTGCCATTGACCAAGACACCATTGGAGGGCTCTTACATTCGTCCAATGAATCAGTTCCTACCCACGGAGAACATGCGATGCTGGCGAATCTGGAAGAGTTATTAGCTTGGCCGAGGTCATCAAGTAATTGTGAAGTTGAACTTTTAAGTTATGTAGACGATACCTTGTACTGATGATGAGGACATGATTTAGTAACTGAGCTTTGCATGTGTACTGTTTGATGTACTTTGGCTCAGATTGAGTATATGTATATCAGTATATGATCAGGACATGACTTTAGTAACTGACCTCTTTGTCTGTGTTTTCTAAAGTGTATTTTGCCTCGGATGGAGTAAATGTATTGTATGTTTTCGGTGCTGGTGATATTCTTTGGCCTTGTCTCTTATCCTCTAGGTTTTTGTACTGAAATTGCACTTCTGCATCTTCTTTACATCAGTGTTGATGAAAGGAGCTTTTTTTCCTAGATGACTTGTATAAGGAAGTTTCTTACTCTCTTTGATTTCATGATTTGTCACCTGCTTTGAACGTATTTGAACCGTAACGAATCCAACAGACAGAAAATGAATCACGAGAGCCGGAGAACAGCAATTCTCGATCTGTAGAGATAGCCAAAACTTGTTGCTTCAACATAACAACAGGAGAGTCGCAATGGAAAGTTTGGAGACCCACAATTTGATTTCAGGATCGGTTTCAGCAACTTGTAAGAACTAAGGATGGTGGATGTTTACAGCAATCAGTTAACTGGGTGCCCTTCTGAGCAACACATCCCGGCGTTAATGTGAAAGATGCATGCCATCTTGAAGCACATTACATGATTCTTCAATGAAGCTTCTAAGATTAATGCTTCAGACAGGGATAAGGAAACGATTGCAACAAGCACAAATGTTGCTGTTATTAGCTCGACTGAGGTCCTACATAGGCTAATTAACAAAATGACTCTCTGGTACCCAAGAGATTGTCAGAAGAACCTTCACCTTACAACACCAAATCGGAACTCATCTACTAGTACTTAGCTTCTCGTTCCCTTTTGTCAAACGAGAAGCGACATCCGCAGAAGCAGCAGCAGTTCGTTTAAGCTTACCGTTCAGAGTTTCAAGTACTTGATGGCCGTCTGTACATCCTTGTCCCCTCGGCCACTGCAGTTCAGCACGACCTTAGTTCCATCAGGGAGCGTTGGGCACAGCTTCTCAAGGTAAGCGAGAGCATGAGATGTCTCCAGCGCAGGGATTATGCCTTCCAGTCTTGATACTCTCTTGAATGCTGCATGTGTGGAAAGAAGTGGTTAGACAGATTGTTTTCACACTTTGAAGGTGCAAAAAAGAGTTCTTCTGGTTTCTGAAAGGAGAAAAAGAGCAGACCGCTGAACAAGAAGTCCATTAGTCTAGTTGTGTATATGGGAGATTAAGCACATAAGGACCTCGAATATAAACCAGACAAAATGAAATGGTTGGATGCTTGTCTAAGCAGTTGCCTTCCACAGCAAAAATTATGGTTCAAGCTGACTGTTTGATGGATTTCAGCAAGGGTAAAAATCACTAATTCAAGTATTTTTCAAAAACACAATCCCAGGCAAACTACTCTTAATGCTTTAAGGCATATGAATGTTAATCAGATTGTAACTTATCATTGTAGGTCTCAAATACCAGTGAGGTTAACCAAATGGAGAGCATGAATTCTCCAATGAACCATTTAGTCGGGAAAGCGTAGCAAAAGTACAAAGATACAAGGGGCTTGCCAATAGATATGCAAGAGCCAAAGCACAACAAATTTTCAACCATGGCCGACTCAACAGCATACAAATAGAAAGCACAACCTAGGAAGAACTTTCATACCTTCTAGTGCCTCCTCATCAGTGACACAATAGTATTCAGCACGACCTTTGTCTTTCAGAAAACTGTGCTCCGGTCCAACTCCAGGGTAATCCAACCTGATTCCAACAGCGCGTAGCAACTAAGTACAAACGACAAGGAACGATTACCAAACCAAAAGCAACTCACTACGAGTTAGCAAATGTTACCCAGCACTAATGGAGTGAGGCTCAATGATTTGCCCATCATCATCTTGTAACAAATAGCTCATAGCTCCATGCAGCACACCAACTTCCCCTTTCGTCAGAGTTGCAGCGTGCTTACCGCTATCCAGACCAAAACCAGCAGCCTCCACACCAATCAACCTAACATCTTTGTCCTTGACGAAATCCTCAAACAATCCCATCGCGTTCGAACCCCCACCAACGCACGCCACAAGGACGTCTGGCTTCCCACCCCATTTCTCCATTGCTTGCCTCCTTGTTTCCTCGCCAATCACCTTGTGGAACTCCCTCACCATCATGGGATACGGATGTGGGCCGGCAACAGAACCCAGAATATAATGAGTCGACTCCACGTTGGTCACCCAATCCCTTATAGCTTCCGACGTAGCATCTTTCAGAGTGGCTGTCCCAGAATGCACTCCTCTCACCTCGGCTCCCAGAAGCCGCATCCTAAACACGTTAAGTGCTTGCCTCTCCATATCTTGTGCACCCATGTAGATGATACATTCCAACCCAAACCTCGCGCAGACGGTCGCAGTGGCAACCCCGTGCTGCCCAGCTCCGGTTTCTGCAATGATCCGCTTCTTCCCCAACCGCTTCGCGAGCAGCACCTGGCCGATCGCATTGTTGATCTTGTGAGCACCGGTGTGGTTCAGATCCTCCCTCTTGAGGTAAATGTGTGGCCCTTCGCCATTCGGCCGCCTGTAATGATCGGTCAGCCGCTCCGCAAAGTAAAGAGGGGTTTCCCTTCCAACATAGTCTTTCAAAATCCCTCCTAGTTCTGCCTACATTCATTTATCAAGCAAGTTGTAACCTTTCAACGAGTGCGAACGAGATACACCGATTTTCCCCCAAAAAAGATTGAAACTTGGGAAATGAGGGATTACCTGAAAATCAGGGTCGTTTCTGATTGAATTGAAGGCGGATTCGAGCTCAGTGAGAGCATACATGAGAGTCTCGGGGACGTACTTCCCCCCAAATTTGCCGAATCGACCGAAAGCATCGGGCCGACTCCACAGAGCCGGGTCGGAGTCGTCCTTCTCCGTCACGGCGACCGCCGCCGCCGCATCTCTGGTCATAGTGCAGGAGATTGAGAGCCCGGCGGTGGTGCGAGGTCGAGCGGTGGATTTGGGGAGCCCGAAGTTGAGCTGTGCGGAAGAGTAGGAGGAGGAGGAAGAAATGGGCGGCGGAGGCGAGAGGGTAGCGGTGGTGCGAGCGGTGGTTGGGGAAGTAGCTGCTGCTGCGGCGGCGATTGCCATTTAGCAGATTTTCTTGGAGTCGAGAGGCGGTGGTTGGGGATTTGGCTCTTCTGGGTGCCGCCTAGATTTTATGGTGGTGATACGGCTGGCTGGCTGGCTGACGTCGTGTGGTAGACTGACTGATGGTCAGGAAACTTCAGAGTGACATGGCGGTTTCTTGGCCTTCAATATTGGTGTACTCTAGGGTTGGCTGGGCTGCACTGCACTGCAGAATGCAAAACAGTTTAGTTTGTTCATATGCCTAAAGGCTAAAATCTTATTTTTAATGTTAGTAAACAGTATGATCCACGATTGAATCTCTCTCAACAATTCGAGTTATTGGGATCAACTGGTTCTTGACATCTAATACGAAGGGGAGGTGTCTTCTGGATCGTTCGTCCATCACGAGACAATTTTTTGTAAGTCTTGATATAATGAAGAATATAAATGTCCTCCATGACAAGTAATATGTCGTTCAAATATAACGGGGTTGATGACATCAAGTTCCTATATGCTATGAAAATTTTCATCAACATAATCATTTATTATGTTTCACACTGAACATTCACATCTATTACGTGAACGTTATGTAATTTAGGTTAAACAACTAAATATACAAAAAAAATAGCTAAACGTCTTAAATTATGGACAAACAGGTTAATTTTGCTGACGTGACAGAAGCATGGATCCTATGTGTTTTTAAATGTTACCCACACCATCGAATTTAACGAGAAAAATTATAAAAAAAAACGACTGTAACTGTCTAATGTTTTAAAATGTTTGACTATTATAATGTATTTCATATAATTTTTACTATTTCTATCCAAAACTTAATAATTTTGACTGTGCTTTTACATTTACCTCAAATTTACCCTTCTAACAATTAACCGATTTTCGTACCTATAATTCAGTCCCAAAGCCCTTTATTTTTCAGGGTTTATGGGGCGGGGTTTTGTGTGAAGTGTGAATACAGGCCGACCTCTCCCGGGTAACAGCCCGGCCCGCCGGCCCAGCTGATTTCGGCGGTCTTTTGCACCCCAAAACGCCGCGTCTCGAGATCCAGTTCGACGGCCAAATTGAATCGGAAAAACCCTCTCCGCCTGTTTTTTTTTTTCTTTCTTTCACCCGACTAAGGCCAGCCTAGTTATTCTGCTAACTAGAAAATTTGTTAGTATATACTAACTAATATCCAAAATGTATGAACTAATATCCAAGTCTGTTGAGTATCTAGATAGCACAGACTAGTATTCAAAACATCACAAACTAGTATCCAGATAGCAGATACCAATTAATATCCACAACCAATCAATTAGTATTCAATATGGATACTCTTATGTGTTATCTGGATACTCTTATGTGCTGTATGGATACTATTTATGTGCTGTATGGATACTATTCTGTGTTGTTTAGATATTAGTTTGTGAATTTGGGATAATAGTTGATTCATGGTGGATATCAGTTAGCCAACTTTGAATACTAGTTTTTGCTTTCTAGATACTTTAGTACTTGGATACTAATTCATGTATTTTGGATATCAGTTAGTATCTGCTAACGAATTTTCAAGTTAGCAGATTAACTTTTCCCGACTAAGGCTCTTCTCCAACGCGGGCTACCGGTGAAACACCGAGAAGCCAGTTGACAGTGGCGGCGACGACGACGACGAACAGCTGCCGATCTCCTCTCTCTCGGTCGCGCGTGCTGGACACAGGCGGCGCTGAAGTTCTTCGGACATCTGAAAGGTCGAGTCGAGTCTTTTGGAAAAGCCTGGGCTGGGTTCAATTTTCTTTCTTCGTTGGGTGAAAAATTAGGACATTGCCAGATTAGGGTTTGCTTGCTTTGAAATTATAAGGGATTCCGAATTCGTCCATCATCTGTTCAGTTCTAGTGACTTAGCTGGAAATGGGTCGCCATTCGTCCGATCATTCGATATCCCCAGACAGAGACCGAGGTCGGAGGAGCTCCCCGCCTGCAGAAAGGGCAGCATCACGGCACAGAAGTTCCCGTAGAGATGTGTCGCCTTCACCAGTAGCCCGGCAGAAGAAGAACTCACATCGGGATGCCTCTCCATCGCCGAAAGAGAAAAGA